CTTCCACCCCTTCTGCCAAAATTGAACACATCTGTTTGGTTGAGATGAAGAGTCAACTTAGCAATCTGGGAAGTGTGATCCTGTTAGTTGACTTGAAAATTGCAAAGAACACACAAAATTCTCTGACAAATTTGAAAACCATTCTGCCAAGGCAGAAATGAAGCTGCAAAGAGCTTTTTCTCTTTCCAAAAGACCTTCAATTTAAAAAAAAAATTCCAAAATTACCAACTGTGTTTCTCCACTTTTTGGGTGCTTTTTCTATTCTTCTTGTATTTTGCTGCTTTTGTTCTGCTTCAACGTTAAAAGCAATTGAACAAAAAACTCAGCAAGCATTGTATCACACAATCTCAACTTAAGTATTAAGAAATTTGTTGTGTATTTAATTGTCGATGTGTTTTTCCTCTCTTAAAGTTAGATCAAATAACTCAGTGTAAGTCAATTAATTACACAGTATGAAAGGAGCAGATGTATACGTCTAACAGAATCAACAGTCCGTGATGAATATTTATGTACATTCTTTTCTTCCTTTTGAATTTTTCTTACAAGCAATTACATTTGAACAATGTCAAAATTTAAAGCATCCTGTGGAGGTTGGGACAGTACCCCAAAGCCTGGATGACTGCAATTTCAACACCACCCATTTGCCTTAGAAGAAACAGTCTTCTGCAATTTAGGTAGTGATTCTTAAAAAGAATTACTATTTTTCAACACATTTAAAAAATAAATAAAAGTGTTGTGATGTGATCAGATGAGCCCAGGAGAATATATTGTCCTATTGTCCACTGTAGAAATCTTAGAGAAAGAAGATACATTCCTCACTTCCCTATGCTTTTCTAGAATGAGCCCAGCCAATCAAGGATCTTAGCCAGTGGGACGGCATTACCAACAACTAACCCAGAACAGCAGAGAATTTCATCGTTGACCCATGATTAGAGTTTCCATCCAGTTGGATTGGCTATTGGGTCACTTTAAGGGGATGAACATTTTGGTTTTCTTTCACCCGGCCTTATGGCTCAAAGAGCGATTTTGACACCCAAACTCATCATGTAACCCAATTAGCATCCAACTTAGAATGGATTTTTACAGGTGAATTTTCTCCATCCAGCTTGCCAAAAGACACTTGAGATTTTTTAATTCTGCAATCTCTTATCCCCAACTCTTCCCAGTGGGGGTATTGTAGCATGTTGGCCAAGAACAATCTCATCCTTGTTGCTCTATCTCTTTCACCTTCAGAGTTCTCTTATGCCAGGTCTTTCAGAAATGCAAATCGTAAGCCGTGGACCCAACACCGATTTCTCAAATAACTGATATTTCACACTTCCCAGCTTTCTTCTCTACTGAGAAGAGCTTTTATGTTCATGCTGATGAAAATGACTACTATCAGCAATGGTGTTTTGAGTCACTGGATTAAAAAAAAAATGTCCATGGCTTTAGACCATGACATGCCAAGAAGGGACTGGTCACCACGTGCCTGAAAATGGAGAAACATCTTCCATCCTTCAAGGAATGAGCCCAAACATTCTAAATAGACTCTACCGTACCCCCTCTCACACTATTTTTATGCAAAACTGTGGTTCCTTGCCTTGCCACTCATGACCTTCATGAAACATTGACAAGCCAGCATTTTGAAGTCGTTATGACAAAGCGCTTCTATCCATCACAGGGAAGACACAATGAATTATGCACTGCTTCAAAAGGTAAGTAGCTGTACAAGTCAGAGCTTCTAGAGCAGTGTTGTCCAAACTTGGCCACTTTAAGATGAGTGGATTTCAACTCCCAGAGTTCTATTTTGAAGTCGTTATGACAAAGCGCTTCTATCCATCACAGGGAAGACGCAATGAATTATGCACTGCTTCAAAAGGTAAGTAGCTGTACAAGTCAGAGCTTCTAGAGCAGTGTTGTCCAAACTTGGCCACTTTAAGATGAGTGGACTTCAACTCCCAGAACTCTGGGAGTTGAAATCCACTCATCTTAAAGTGGCCAAGTTTGGACAACACTGTTCTAGAGATTTTCATATCAATGCTGGAGATATTGATGGACCTGATGGGTGGGAACGTTGGTGGGAAACATGCCTGCTACTTTGGCTCTTCTTCCATCATGACCAGCTTCCTCTTTCATCTAGTCCAAGGATAATGCATGTTCTCTCTCTTATTATCTCTCTCTGAACCTTCAGAGGTACCAGGAATTTCACAATATTTTCATTAGAGGACAGGGAATGTCGGTTTTTAAAAAAACAAAAACAATAGCCCATTACCCCTCCCTTTCTATCTGCCATTGGTGTCCATCATCCACAACTTCTGCTGTGTTAGCAGTGAAGGCACTATTCCTATCAGGGATCCCACAGTGAATCTGATTGCATGGCTAAAAATACAAAGCTAACAGACTCAAACCACCTACCTTGCTATTTGTCCTCCTACTGCACGGGTGAACCTTTTAGCCTATATTTTAATCCTTGTTAGCCATAAACACCGATTTATTTATTTATTAATGCCCAAATCGTTCATCGTGGAAGGGCCTTCTTTTGCAGTAGATTCAGAACAGCACCATAAGATACATGCGTTCCCAACATTTATTTGTCTCAGAAGAGGAGGCCGATGGTTTAGATGGCTTTAAAATAGGAATGAGGCTAATCCAAGGTGGAGAAGGTTTTAACAGGTTCTCACCAATGGGACACTGATGTTTAAAAGTAGTTGCTGAAAACCAGCTCCTGTGAAGCATTTGGAGATTCAGTCTATTGTTCTGTTGGGTTCTAGTTGGACTTCTTGGAGGAAACTAGCTAGTTCCCTTTGGGAAGAGTAGCTAGAGAAAAACCCTGTTCAGACAATCAAATTGCCAAGTCATTTGCTCTCAATGAACTCATTCCTGAATATCAGCAGCGTGTAATTGCTGACGACCCAATCAGTATTTTTAATATGACCTTAACCAGAACATTAGGAACAATCTGTGTTTGTCTTAGCAAAAGAACATGGGTTTGATTTGACCCTAATGAACCTCCTCCAAACAAATGTACTTAACCAAGCCATGGAAACATTTTAATTACAACCGTGGACACATAGAAATAAATATTACATTCATTCCGTTTACAGCGAATACTAGGCAAGTCTTGTTAAAAAGTCAGTCTACATTATGAGGTGTCAGGCTTTATCCAAGCCCTCCCAAAGAAAAGAAGAAAAGTAAAATAGACAAGTTGGTGGTGGGGAACCAAAACCCAAACTGGGCACAAATAAAATGCAATGAGGCGTTCAAGTATCTGAAACAATGATTGACAGAGTATGTTCCTACTTAACAGGCAGCCTAGAAAGCTTTCAAAAGGGAGCAGTGAAGGCTTCATTCACACAACAAGTTTAACCTGGTTATTGAATTAACCAGTTTTCTGAGTTCATACAACACTTTCATCCATAAATTAACCCAATGGGCTGGGTTAATATGCTAGACTACACACAGAGCTGACAAAGGTTAACGCCAACCAAGCTGAACAAATGTAAATGCAGTCACATGGATTTTACCAAATCTGGTTCAGTGGGTTATGTGAATCCAGCCAGACAGTCCCTTGTTATATGACTGACTTTTGTTTCAAGTGAAGGATGACCAGAATTAAAAGCTAGAATAACATGGCTTCTGCGCTATTTAGAATGAACTAATTTCAAGCTTATTGGTCTCCTAAGCAGGAGAAGTCCTTCCAGTCCCCAGAACAACTTTGCCCCTCAAACAGCCCATGGGTTCGCCTTCAAGGTAGTGAAAAAGCTTTGAAGTTAGGCATGGATGTGGATTGGACAATGCTCAATGTCAAGTGGTGCTGATTGGCTACAAGGCCTAACCAATCAGGGTTTCCTGTTCTATCTACCCGCTGGTGGTTAGGCTGATGAAAGCAATGTTGTGGTGTTCTGACCCAAGCCCCACCCCTTTTCTATGTGCATTGTGACATCACACACATGACCCAAAGGGGATGGAGCTTATGGTGCAATGCTGAGATGTTGCTTTTGCCATTCTGATGAAAGCAGCAGGATCTCATGGACGTTGCTCCATCTGTGTTTAGAATCTCCTTGCTCCACCTAGCTCCAAGTGGCAAGACCCTTTAGATGGAAAATGTTATTTTTGGTCTAGAGGGAAGTTCTCGGATTGGAATGCCTGTAAAACAATTGTTTAAAAAGTCCCATCTGCCCCAAATGACTTGCAGAAAGACTATCTTGTGGAAAGAAAGGGGGGGGGAGCCAAATTTCAGTAAGTGACCCTTAAAAAAATGCAGCTGAATCCAAAAATGGCCCCAATTTCATTCCATTCTGCAAGACGTCATTCCACTCTCTCCAGCTCAAGGAATGGTAAGTCAACCCTGATTACTCTCTCAAGGTCAGTTTCTCCTTGGATCTCCCTCTCAAGGCTTTTCAAACCTTTTCAAGAAATATAAAGGAGTTTGTTGCCCCCCTTTTGTTTTCTTTCTAAAAAAAAATATACTTTTGATTACCTTGCACTTCATGATCTCTGAAAACCTAACCTTCCAATTCATAACGTCAGCTTGCCCCACCTGAGCACCAACCATTCCTTGGGAACTTCTATTTCACCATCGAACATTTGACCTGAAGAGGATGGGGTGAGGGAAATCCCCTACCACGGGCAGCGTTAGCAAATAATAAAAACGGAATGGACTTTTATGAAAACATCCATGTAATTTCATTGGCAACAATATGGAAATAGTTTACTGTGGTCCCTTTCTGGATTTATTTTTACTTCCCAGTTTAGCCTACAGCTCAAGAACATCCTGATGATGTCCCACCTAAGCACTAACCAGGTCAAACTCTGATTAGTTTCCTGCAATCAGTCCAGCTTGATTAGATGCTGCCACCTAGATGGGCTTAGCAAAGAATACCTCTCCTGGATTATCAAAATTGGTTCTGTATGTCAGTTCCCACTCCAGCTCACGCATATGCTTGTTTATTCACATGTTTCAATGCATCTGAAGGCATCAAGGTGTGGCTGTTAACCCTTAAAACCCGGAAGTGATGCTACACTTTATCTGTGAGTTTCTCCATGTAGTTTCTGATCTCTTTTGATTCTCCCAGGTCCATATCTTGGCAGACCCATTTAATGTCATCTTCGTTGCAATTGAGGATGGAATTGACGGTTGGACAACCGTCATCTGGAGGGATGGTGGTGAACGTAGTAAATTTGACCCGCTTCCGCTTGGAGGCAGGTGAATGCAAAGGCTCCCTGTTTTGTTTGTCCCCGAAGTCAGCTTTCTGACAGGTTTGGCTCAGGAGTTTTTTTGGTGTGCCATCAAGGAGATGATTGCCTGCATCAAAGCCTATCCCTTGGTCTATGTTTGTGGTGCACTCATCTGGTGGAGGTGAGATGTCCGCTTGGTTGTCCAGCAACTCCATTTCATTTCCAAGCCACACCCAGTCATGAGAATGGCTCATGGAGGTCTGCCCTTCCATGGGAAGTTGCTTGTGACGGTACTTCAATGTGAAGGTGGCACAATTGATTAGGAAGACAAGAATGGCGAGGCAGAAGACTCCTAACAGAGCATACATCCCAGTCTCCAAGTCACTGAGACCTCTAGGCGTCTGGACCAGGTCATTGTCCTCCATGCCATTATTGCTTTGGGGAAGATCAATCTGAGCAGGGAAGTTGGTGAAGTCAATTGGGATGTTCTGGAGTAGACCTTCATCTGAAAGTTTATCTCCTTCAGGGATACTTTTTAAGACTTTGCTTTTGATCGTAGACTTGGCTGTCACATCAGTCTTCCTTTCAGGGCCTTCTTCTCGCTCGGCAGAAGAACTTCTATAATATTGTCCTTCCTGGCCATGCTGCTCTTGGTCAAACACTTTCTGCCTCCGGTCACTGGCATGATTTTTAATATCCCCAGCAATGTAATCACCAAGGCCATGGGGGTTGGCATTGTTCTGACCAAACTTTACTTTGATGCTTCCATTGCCAACTGCTAGAATACTCTTCCTCTTAGACTTCTGGCAAGATTCAGAGATCATCATATCTACTTTAACCAGCATGCCTTCGCCTTCGCCTTCTGCTGCCACCACCGGCCATTTGACAGCAGAGCTTTGATGAGCAGAAACAACTGATTCATCAAGCGAGGAGGCAGACAGAGAAAAGTCTCTGGGATCATAAATGTCTAGTGGGGTCACAGCACCATCACTGAACTGGATCCAGGAGCTCACCATGGCTTCCTAGCAAGGAAAGAAAAGGAGTCAGTTAAACAACAAGGTAAGTTGAACATCACTAATTTCCATGGAAAATGGTGCAGTAAGAAAGAAAACATATTGCATGTGTTAGCCCTTTGAGGTAGTCCAGACAAGAAGCACATCAATGAATATAAGCTCTATCCTTATTGTAAGGTTACATTAACAGAATCTTGCAAGACTGAAAGTATTCCTCCCCTCCTTTCCTTTTACTCTCCAGAACACTAGGGAGGGCCACTTCTGAAATGCTTCCCACACCTTCCCTTCTTCTGTGGGCTGAGACATCTTTTACACGCTGGTTGCCCAGTCTGCAGCTCTTCCTCCTGTCTCCCAAGGTCCTTCCCACATACCATTACAGCATGGTTTCATTGCATCTCTAGTGGAGTTCCAAAGATTCGTATGAACTTGTATTGAATGAAGCACATATTCTGGTCCAGTAAGATGGCACAATAATTCTAGAAATAGCTAATAAAGAAGACCGTTCCATCTGGGCACAGAGCTTCACTTAGTCCAACCAATGAAATGTGTTGATAAAAAGAAAGGTGTTTTCCCATTCTGTCTCTGAACCTGGAGGTTTTGTTTCGGGATCGTGGCTCATGTCAAGCTTTTCTTGGTCTTGTTTTCTTTCTATGGCCTCCATTTCTGCTCCCTCCCTCGTAGCCAAGAAAGATGGGAAGGGTGAGCTTGCAAAAAGATGACCACCAGCAGCAGCGGTGGTGGTGGCCATCCTTGGTTCATCCAACCCTAATGACACAGGCTGGAATAATTCCACCAGAGACCTTCTCTGCATCCATTCCTGTTAGTGCTGGGAGATAAAAGCTGAGCATAAATGGCCATTGACATCTTCCTACCCCACTGCCTTTCCTCCTTTTCATGAGTTGGTTGCTAGCTCGTTGGGCACCTTAACAAAAGGAAAGACGGCAAGGCACCGAGGAGATGTGCTTTCCAGGTTAATATCTGCAACTCTATTTTCTCCAGCCATTATGCCATACGAGTGCTGAAGTTCATGGATTTGGTGAAAGACCAGCAACTTTTCAAGGAGAACGCTGTCTCCTGACACAAATCAGCAGCAATGGGGAAGGAGAGGGAAAGTGCATTTTATAGGGCTGGAATGTTTAATCAATAGGTTTGATCAATGAATTTGATACTTTTTAAGCAATGGAGGAGGGAGCAGTTTATTTTAATGGTCTTTGAGGATTATAATACTTTCCAAGTAGGAAAGAGCCAGAGGGGAAAAAAAATCTCTTGTAAGAGGATGTGTCCCTTGACACAAGCGTCATTAAAAAATAAAAGCGTTTTTTTCCTGTTCTTTGGAAGGATTGGTGCAAATGTATACACATTTAACTTAAAAGGTTTTACCACCACCTTGGGAAGAACATGCCTGGACTCAATGGGGTATTTCTGAAGAAGAAAGCTTTTAGATACGGTCATAAAGTAAGAAGACTTGGATGGCTCTCCCAAATCAGTCCCCCATTTGGGGTTGAATTTCATTTCTCCCAGCCCCCAGTTTCAACCATATCTCCTTAACAATATGGACTAGTATGTTAAAGATGAAGTGGTATGCCAAGATTCTGGAGACAAAGGGCTTAGAGTGCTAATCAGCAAAAGCCACATGTTCTACCTGTTTGTGAGTATGGAGCAAATCTTGTGCAATGGTGGTAGCCATAAAAGCTTGATGACTAGCTGTACTGGGCTGAAGAATGAGGGATAACCCAGCTACTAGTTGGACTCCCATATCTGTAATGGTCACCTTGTCGTCCAATACCATCACGGTCTTCTCAGCCAAGATGGAGTCAGATAGCGGAGACAGGACCTTTGGAAGAAGCCAACAGAGAGATCCCCTTAGGAAGATATCAAAGTTACACAGTTCCTTTCCCTCTTCCCTTATCAAACATGGGTTCAAAAATGAAGAACATCCCAAAAATGTCCATGGACAATCCTTGGGAACAGAGGATTGGCCTAGATGATTTATTTATCCAACTTATTCATTCTGTAGATGGTCTCTAAAACACATCACTGCCAAACAATATGGAAATAGAAAGCTGATTAAGATGGACTCATCATCCTTAGCATCTGAATGGAACCTCTTCAAGGCTAATACTTAACAGAGACCAGTAACAGCCCCCATTCCTTTATCATAGAACAGGCCTTCAATGAAGACATTTGTAACACGATGGCCAACCTGCAGGTGGTGAGACAGAGTCCCAGGGAGAGATGAGAGCTTACAAGATCAATAAGTTTATGGGGTATCTGTCTGTTTCTTTAGCCATGGGAGAAGAGACCTCCAATTTTGAGCACACCTTCTTGGCCATGGTCAAAATCTGGTCAAATGTCATGGCCAGAGGCCAAGCTATTTATTGGGGAGATTCATAGATTCTTTAGCACCAAACTTTTAGAGAATGGAATTTCAAGTCAGGAATGTTCTCATACCAAGGTGCCAACATGATGGACTGACCTGGACCATTGTCATGCCAACTTCCTGCCCAACCAGAACCTTGCCTCCTTGTAATTGGGCCACATGAGGTTTCTCAAGCTTCATGAAGTCTGTCACCAAATCTGTTATGTCAACCTGCCAATTGGAGCCCAACAAATAGGAGAGTTGTCCTGATGGGCTGGCATCTTCAGCTACAAATTGGGTGAGGACCCGCACCATGGCATGCTGATACTGGAGGGTGCAGCCTCTTCCCTTCCGCTCATCTTCATCCTCATCATCACTGTCCCACGTAGGTCTGAAAAATTTGCATTTAGAAATAGCCTTCATACCCAATGAGTTGAATATGCACACCAATACTTCAAAACTGCCATGGATTCATCTACAAAGAAAATACTCTTATAGGGAGGTTCACCACTGTCAACCTGGAGCTCTCTGCTGTTTAGAGAAGACAATCCATCAGTGGTTCATGAACCAATCTCCAACAAAGGCTTCCTCTAGAGAAGGACTTGCAATCCCCTGAGCCAGTTATATTTGTGTATTGACTTCTTACATGGGATTACCCTCATTTATCTTCCCCCCAATAATTATATAAACTACATTAAGCAGAGAGAGCGGGATGGTCCTAATATCTTTCAGAGAGCTCCATGGTTGAGTGGATGCTAATTAGTTGATGCTAATTTTCCCTGAATCCAATTCAACACTCTAATCACTGCACCATCTCCTCTGGGGTTGGGGAAAAACCAAGCTGGGCCACCCTATGGAGCATATCCCTTTCAGGGTCATCTTTAAAACTGATCTTCCCTATCTGTTGAAAGAGGGGAGACAAGCAGAACAGTCTGTTGAGTAAGAGAGGGATTGAGAAAGAAGGAGCAAAACAGCCAGAAGGACATGGAGTCCTCTGGACTTCAGCCACATATCTACAGCCAACCAACAAAACCCACCTCTGGTTGGACATGATGGGAACTCTCCAACCTTTGATCTGACTCAGCTCAGTGTCCGAAACGTCAATCTGAAGAGGCAGGCGTGGGACCCAAACAGTAACCCGCAAGGGGGTGCTGAGATGCTGGTACGTGAAGTTCACCAAGGCATTGACCTTGCCTTTCATCTCTTTGCCATTGACAAACACATAGTCACATCTGTCAGACACCTAGGGAAAGGATGAAAGCATGAGGTGGTCAAGATGGAGTCTTGGAACATCTCTGAATGGGTATTGCAAGGATTGGCAATCTTTGGAGGAGGTGGGGGCACACCTGGAATTTTGAGAGCCGGGGTGGGCATATTGACAGACTGACTGCCGTGATCACACAATGCCCATTTAGCCTTCAAGTACTTGACCCACCTGGTGGGACTTTTGCAGGGCTCAAAGACTTCATTGCAAATAAGTGTGATACAGGAGGTAGGGGCTTTGTTCTACAAAATGCCAGCTTCTGATGGGATCTTCTTGAACAAAAAAAGAAATTATTTTTAAAAAGGAGATAGGTGGAGCAGAGAATCCCATCAGCTCTAAAGGATGTATCTGCTGACTCATGGGTGCCCCTGGGCACCAGGTTGCCTATTCTAGGTTACAGCACATAAGGATCATTTGCCTGTGTGACAACCTGCCATAACAGTAGGAATTATAATCAGGTACATCTGAAACGCATCCAGTTGGCAAATTTGTTTTAATTTCTTACAAAAATATATTTCTGTATTATTAGCATAGCATTTTGGGGAATGGATAAGAAGACAAGAAACAAACTGAAGGAATGTGCAATCAAAGGTTAAACATTGGAAGGCATTGTACGTAACCCAGATTGATTGGGACTGTCTATAAACTGTGTGCAGTTTAGGCTTCTTTGGGGGACCCCTTCTTTAAATAAGTTGGGAATCATGGAATTCACATTCTATCACAAACAAATATGAACCAGCAAGTTTCTAGCTCTCATGACTATTTTTTTGATGTTTTCACAGGTAAACAATGTGCAAATATTTGTGACACTTCTGGCCCCTTCTCTTCAGAGGAAAACAGTCTAGGGTGCAAAGAAGCTGAACCGATTTTGTACATGCAAGATCACGAAGCAGAACAAACCTTTTTTTCAGGGGGTGGGCAGGGCAGCTAGCCAGCTCTGAACTGAGCTGCCAAACCAATTCCTACTTGAATTTCTTGTAAACGTGTTTATTACTGTTTGGGGAAATATTAGTTCTCCTCGCTGAGAATAATGGATGAGAAAGGCTTTGTAGGTTTTCGATAAACTTTCATTGCAGAAGGAAACCTCAACCCTAAACCACGTTGTGCAGGAAAGTGGCTTCTATAGACTGCCATTAAAAAAAAAAAAAAGAGGCAGAAGCTATTGTTTGTTGGGCCTGGGGGTGGGGGTGGGCAGATACATGTAACTAAACCTCAACCCTAAACCACGTTGTGCAGGAAAGTGGCTTCTATAGACTGCCATTAAAAAAAAAAAAAAGAGGCAGAAGCTATTGTTTGTTGGGCCTGGGGGTGGGGGTGGGCAGATACATGTAACTGCAGCAGCAAACTTTAAAAAGAGATTTAAAAAAAAGAGCCTTAAAGGTGCCTTAACTCCATTCACAGAAATTGCCTTGTTTGTTGACATTCTCTCACTGCACGTCATCAGGTCCTCAGTAAAGCTGACGTGTTCCGGACCACAGACCAGCTATTATCCATGATTAAGCGATCGCAAGATTTCTTGCAACTTTTATGACACTTTTAAGAATTGCTGTGATGACAGCTTTATCACACAGGGTCTTTGCTCCTATCATCCATCTATCCATCTATCTATCCATCCATCTCTATCTCTCTATCTGTGATGGAATGGAATGATGAAGGCCAGGCTCAGGGAGATAAACATTTTCTTAGCTCCCCAGAAGAGCGTGGGAGGAACAAGAGGATGAGACTGGCAATAGTGTCAGGCCTAGCCCAAGGAACTCCAAGAGACAATGCCAATTCAGTCCAGCTATGTTTATAGTGTCAGGCCTAGCCCAAGGAACTCCAAGAGACAATGCCAATTCAGTCAACATAGCTGGACTGAATTGGCATTGTCTCTTGGAGTTCCTTGGGCTAGGCCTGACACTATCTCTTTTATCTTTATC